ATCAATAACCTGTATATCAAATATACCCTTGTTCACTTCGCCATCCTTCTTATCCACCAAATATTTAGGGCATTTCCGCTTCCAGTGACCATTTCTTTTGCAGTGTAAGCACTCAGTTTCAGGCTTTGGTCCAGCTGTGAGCTTCTTCGCGGGAGTGACAACTTGCTTGTCATTCTACTTGAAGTTCCCTTTCTATCCCTTTGCCCTTTTCTTGAAACTAGTGGTCTTGTCAATCATCAACACTTGATGCTCTTTCTTGATTTCTACCTTCGTCGATTTCAACATCACGAAGAGCTCGGGAATCGTTTTCGTCATCCCTTGCATACTATAGTTCATCACAAAGTTCTACTAACTTAGTGATGGTGACTAGAGAACTCTGTCAATCACTATCTTATCTGGAAGATTAACTCCCACTTGATTCAAGCGATTGTAGTACCCAGACAATCTGAGCACATGCTCACTAGTTGAGCGATTCTCCTCCATCTTTTAGCAATAGAACTTGTTGGAGACTTCATATCTCTCAACTCGGGTATTTGCTTGAAATATTAACTTCAATTCCTGGAACATCTCATATGGTCCATGACGTTCAAAGCGTCTTTGAAGTCCCGATTCTAAGCCGTTAAGCATGGTGCACTAAACTATCAAGTAGTCATCATATTGAGCTAGCCAAACGTTCATAACGTCTGCATCTGCTCCTGCAATAGGTTTGTCACCTAGCGGTGCATCAAGGACATAATTCTTCTGCGCAGCAATGAGGATAAACCTCAGATCACGGATCCAATCCGCATCATTGCTACTAACATTTTTCAACACAATTTTCTCTAGGAACATATCAAAATAAACATATGAAAGCAACAACGCAAGCTATTGATCTACAACATAATTTGCAAAATACTACCAGGACTAAGTTCATGATAAATTTAAATTCAATTAATCATATTACTTAAGAAGTCCCACTTAGAAAGACATCCCTCTAATCCTCTAAGTGATCACGTGATCCAAATCAACTAAACCATAACCGATCATCACGTGAAATGGAGTAGCTTTCAATGGTGAACATCATTATGTTGATCATATCTACTATATGATTCACGCTCGACCTTTCGGTCTCCGTGCTCTGTTGTTCTTGTTTGCATCATCTCTTTCCATGAGTAGCTTCATGTAGCCTTGTCATACATCATGCTTGTTGTGCATCATGCCTTGTTCATGTGTGGTATGTTTACTATGTTGTGTGCTTCTTCTCGATAGTTCCTGTTTCGTTGCAATCGTGAGGATTCGTTCGTCTACGCTTGGTTCGTCTTCGTGGCTTCATCTTCTTCATGGACTCGTTCTTCTTCCTTGCGGGATTTCAGGCAAGATGACCGCTATCCTGGATCTCACTACTATCATTGCTATGCTAGTTGCTTCGTTCTATCGCTATGCTGCGTTACCTATCTTTTGCTCATCAAGCCATCCCAAATTGCCATGAACCTCTAACCTTTGACACATTTCCTATGCAAACCGTTGTTTGGCTATGTTACCGCTTTGCTCAGCCCTCTTATAGCGTTGCTAGTTGCAGGTGAAGTTGAAGATCGCTCCATGGTGGACAGGATTTTGGTTGGGATATCACAATATCTCTTATATTATTAATGCATCTATATACTTGGTAAAGGGTGGAAGACTCGGCCTTATGCCTGGTGTTTTGTTCCACTCTTGCCGCCCTAGTTTCCGTCATACCGGTGTTATGTTCCCGGAGTTGCGTTCCTTACGCGATCGGGTGATTTATGGGACCCCCTTGACAGTTCGCTTTGAATAAAACTCCTCCAGCAAGGCCCAACCTTGGTTTTACCATTTGCCTCACCACCACCTATCCTTTCCCTTGGGTCGGCCAACTCGAGGGTCATATTTATTTTAGCCCCCCCCCCCCGGGCCAGTGCTTGTCTAAGTGTTGGTCCGAACCGGGCAGACTGCGGGGCCACCTCGGGGCAACTCGAGGTCTGGTTTTACTCGTAGGCTGACCCATCCGGTGTGCCCTGAGAACGAGATATGTGCAGCTCCTATCGGGATTGGTCGGCGCATCGGGCGGCTTTACTGGTCTTGTTTTACCATTATCGAAATGTCTTGTAAACCGGGATTCCGAGTCTGATCGGGTCTTCCTGGGAGAAGGTCTATTCCTTCGTTGATCGCGAGAGCTTGTCATGGGCTAAGTTGGGACACCCCTGCAGGGTATAATCTTTCGAAAGCCATGCCTGCGGTTATAGGCAGATGGGAATTTGTTAATGTCCGGTTGTAGATAACTTGACACCAGATCCGAATTAAAACGCATCAACCGCGTGTGTAGCCGTGATGGTCTTTTCTCGGCGGAGTCCGGGAAGTGAACACGGTTTCTAGGTTATGATTGACGTAAGTAGGAGTTCAGGATCACTTCTTGATCATTGCTAGCTTCACGACCGTTCCGTTTGCTCTCTTCTCGCTCTTATTTGCGTATGTTAGCCACCATACTTGCTTAGTCGCTGCTGCAGCCTCACCACTTTACCCCTTCCTTTCCCATTAAGCTTTGCTAGTCTTGATACCCATGGTAATGGGATTGCTGAGTCCTCGTGGCTCACAGATTACTACAACAACAGTTGCAGGTACAGGTTCATGCGATGATCTTGACGCGAGAGCGATGTTTGCTTGTGTTGGAGTTCTTCTTCTGCCTCTTCTTTGATCAGGGGATAGGTTCCAGGTCAGCAACCTGGGCTAGCAGGGTGGATGTCGTTTGAGTTTCTGTTTGTGTTTCATCCGTAGTCGGATGTTGCTCTCTTGTATTGTGAAGTTGTATTCGTGTGGCATTGTATGCCTTATGTATGTATCCCCATCTATTATATAATGTTGATGTAATGATATCCACCTTGAAAAAGCATTTCAATATCCGGGTCTATCCTTGGTGGGACCTTCGAGTTCCTTTTTGGATAGGGTCACATATTGGGCGTGACAATGAGCCACCCAAAAAATTAAGCTCTTTATCTTGTCAGTGTCCACTTGTACCGAGCTACCAACTGCGTATCAAGTCAGCTTACACAGTTTCAGCCACAAGGAAAAAAAGTCATGTTAGTATCTTTGTCAAAGATAAAAATATGTTAATATCCACAAGGAGAGACAGGATATTTCTCCCTTGCAATGAAATTCAGATGGATAGTTGAACATAGAAACAGAGACAAAACAATCCAGCAGAAAATGGGACTCGGTTGTCTCAAAACCATATGAAACCCCACAGCAAAAATCTCAGACTAGAGTGTTAACAGTGGAAGGAAAGTCAGGTTAAGCATCAAATTAATTTTCCAGATCACCACCAACCTTAGGCTGCTGCTGGTGCTAGCAAAACCAGGAAGCGGCGATTCGGCTTGTGTGGAACCATGATGTAGTTTCAGAAGCACAGTCACTCCTTCCTTGCTACAACAACTGCAATGTTATCTACCTTAACCTGAAGGAGAAGGATGCAGTCTGCAGAGCATTGAATTCAGCAGCTCACAAACAACACTTCCTTGGAATCAGCTATGTGATCCTGAAAGCACTTTTTAATTCCATGTACTGAGCCGAGCACAGATAATAACAAACATACATGCGACAAAAAGAAATGCATTTGAATTGATGCGAGCTCCTATGCCGAACAGGCTACAAACACAAACATACTACTACTGCCTCCGTTCGGAAATATTTGACGCTTGTTTTCAGAAAATGAAGGAGCATATATATCATCCAGTATATACCAATTGAATCTATATACTATCCATCTTTGCCCAAAAGAATCAAGACATGTACTGTATGTATCGTCCCCTTAATTGCTGCGCAAAACTTTACAGTGCAGACGTTGTTTTGTGCAATGATATCCAGAGAAGGAATATACCCACCAGTTAACTCAGGTATAGTAGTGCGGGTTGATTCGTGATAAAGGCAGGGGGTAAACAGCAAAATGCACAGCGCTGACCGGCCCAGGCCAGCTGGCTCCACTTGGCGAGTTCTGATTGGCCCTGGACTAAATTTGCACATCCATGACAAGTTGAGGGATGAAATAATCCACCTTTTCAACTTCAAGGACCAAATCATCACATCCACTGCAAGTTTAGGGACCTGCAGTGCTATTACCTCTTTAGTTAGGCAGAGGCTAGAAAGTGGGCAGAAGTCAAAGAGCTAAACACATCCGTACAATCTTGGTGCTTTTCATTTTAGGAGAAGAGGTTATACCAATCGACACAGCTGGCAACCTAATAAACTTGGGTGCTGCGTGTAAATAAGTTGTTGCTGTCAAGTGTCAGTTTGCGCTTCCCTTGGATGGCCTGGAGTGTGGCAACGTTCTTCTTTGACCGGCCACACCTTATGGTGGAGTAGACCATAAGACTGGAAGGCTAAGAACTCTGCTCCGTTCATAACTTCATATGCTCAAGTCCCATGAAAAGCATGATCGGCCTTTGCATACGTGCTAGTAATTTGGTTGTGAATTCGTCTCCCATGCATAGACATGTTTCCAAGAAGCGCAACCTGATGCCATCACCATACTTTTGTTTCTGAAAAGATGTCATCATGTATACTGTACTTTGGCACAATCAGAAAAGGCACTACGAAGCATCTGCGTAGGCCACAACTCAGGGATGCACGCACGAAAGCCGCTACAGCAAAGGCGCACTTCATACATCACTGGATCAGTAGCAGTGCACCAAGAGACAGACACGCATATGGTTACATAAGCTAGTGCAATTCTTTCAACGGGTAAACAAGATTACATCTCTCGACTGGCCGCCTTTGCCGTGAAAAAACTGCCGGCAGGTCGACCAGGAGATCAATTACACCACGTAGTAGTAGCAACGATCTTACTAAACACCACTGGCTACTTACTGCTACTAGTTAATTACTGCTACTCGCAGCAGCCATGGCCGACGTCTAAAATGCCGTCGGGCCAGAGCAGCCGCCGATCCGAGCGAAAGAGAAATTACATCATAGCTACGAAGACTGTACTAGTAGTAGTAGCAGCTGCTTGCTGTTCACGACAGGATGGAGTCCCAGTCGATCTCCACGGACGGGTACTTGCGCAGGTGGAAGGTCTCCGACTCGTCCCACGGCGCCTCCGTGAAGTCCAGCTTCTCCATCTCCGGGACCGGCGGCGTGGGCGGCGGGGGGGACCCGGCGGACGCCGAGTCCTCACCCTCCGTCGACGCCGAGCACTTGGGGGACTCCGGCTCCGCCTCGGCCGAGTTCTTGGACGAGGGCGCGGCGAGGGACTCGCAGATGGCGGTGAGCTTGGCGTCGACGGAGGCGTGGAGCGGGCCGGCCAGGTGGGCGCCGCCGCGTCGGAGCGACGGGAAGTTGAGGCGGGCAAGGTCCCCGCGGAGGCGGAAGGCGGCCTTGTCGTAGGCGAGCGCGGCGTCCTCGGCGGTGTCGAAGGTGCCGAGCCACAGCCTCGTGCGGTTCTTGGGGAGGCGGATCTCCGCCACCCACTTGCCCCAGTGACGCTGCCGCACGCCGCGGTACAGCTTGGACTGCGCAGGCGCCACTCCGGCCAGGGCCAGCGCCGCGGCGGACGCGCGCGGCGGCGACCCGGACTGCTTCATCGGCTGCGCGCGCGGCCCAAGGAAGGAGCCAGCCAGGCCCCTCTGCTGCTGCTGCTGCTGGACGAAGAACTGGGCCTGGATCTGCTGGATCTGGGCCGGGCCGAGCTGGGCCAGCCCCATGGATCCGTTCATGCCCGAAGCGGTGGAATACTGCGAGGAGTAGAGCGGCGGAAGCTGCGAGAAAGACGGCGAGGTGGGTGCGGTGGTGGGTAGAGGAGAGGTCGCGAACGAGGCGTACGATGATGATGGGGTGGCCGTGTATGAATCTTGGGTCATGGAGGGAGAAGAGTAGTACTGGTAGGGGTAGGGAGAGGAGGAAGCAATCGTGATAAAAGGTTCGAGTGCTTTCATGAGCTCCTGATCCGAAGCAGAGGCGGCAGAGCCGATCTGGTGCGTGCTGGTGTTGTACTTGTACATGTCTATGGCAGCGGCCATGAGGGCTTGGGCAGAGGTAGAAGAAGAAGGTGATGTAGAGAAGGCCGAACCAAAAACGGAATGAAAAAAAGGAGCTTTCTCGTGCAAGCAGAAAGAGAGAGAAAAAAGGCCCTGTTCCTCAATAAAATTAGAGAAACGAGGGGAAGAAAAGAATAATTCGGACGAACTACAAGGGTATTGCAAAAGAACCCTTTCCGGCCGTACCGAAGCAAAACAAGGCTGAATAGGGCAAGAATCCAGGAGAGAAAAAAGGTTCTCTGGATCTCTCTGTTCCTCCTAGGAGAGTGGTGAGGTTGGCAAGAAATCAAGAGAATCCCAAGCAAGAGGAGGGCGCCCCTTCTGATCTAATAATCCCAGAAGAAGAACCCCTTGAACGGGACCTCGATCGGTTTCTTGTGTATTCCTGCTGGCTGCCGCTAAAAAGATCAGAGAAGTTCAGAGAGCAAACCTGCCGCCGTCGTCGCTGCTGCTGAAGGGCTCGTCAGATCGCTCAACCTCACCGTGGAGTGGAATGGGATTGTGGCTGCTTGTTCTTGTGGATGGTGGGGGTTGAGGCGTCTCTCTGAGGAAGAAGAGGCGTCGCTCCGGGGCTTTATATAGCGCCAGGCTCCGGCCGTGCTGGCGAAGCGAAGCAACCACTCAGCCGTGCAATTTGTTTGCTGCCACAAAGCGGTCTGATTGGTAATTTCGTTAATCGTTTCTTGATTGTTGGGGGTTGGCAGTGTGATTTTGAAAATGAGACGTCGCTTTCGTCCATGGCGTCAGCCGACGCCGGGCAGCACGCGCGAGCCACAAGTCGCGGCCAATGAGGGTCCGCCTCGTGTGCTCCGGACACGCGGGTGATCATCGCCACGCTGTAGCTTTGTGCAAGTGGCGTCGCGTCATTGGGTGGTGGTGCGCTCGCTTGACCTCAGAATGTGTTGCCCCTGCCCTTTGTGCTCTGCTCCGGGAACTCGGCTTCTGCGTTGCACCAAGAGCTACGAACCCCTTGCTTAAAGTAAGGAGCTAAAACATTTTTCACATGCACCTACAATGTTTTGTTTACATTGGTTTTGTAATTTGTGTTCAACTCTTTTTATTATGTCCATAACAAAAGAATGAAGCAAGATGAGAAACTAAATCTTGTAATAATCTTAGGACAGTCGTGGAGAGAAAGAAAAGGGATGTGTTTTTTGCAAGGTTACGAGAAACAACAAAAAATCCGAGGTTATTTGTAGTGGCTGTTCTTTACTGATGTTTTTCTGCATGGGTCATAGGAAAAACAGGAATACGCGATATTTAAGCACACACAGATGCAAACGCTGACCAGAGTGACGGAGCATCAAGATTCACAAAATCATCACATACTCATTATCAAAGGAAATGTGCCTCCCACAAAAGAACAATCCACTTCTTTTGAGCTGGGCGGGCGATGACGGCGGCGCGCCTTCGGTTCGCTTCAGTGCTTGTAGTTGTCGCTAGATGTTCTACGAATCTGGATGTATTTTTTTTCTAGTTTCGTTGTATTGCCATGATTGAAGATGAATAAACTGAAAATTTCTCATAAAAAATTATAACGAAAATACAAAAGCATTAGGTTCAACAGGAGGGGCAAGTAGAGAGTTTGGGCACTATTAGAAATTCTGTCACCCATGTCTGCAATTAGAACATGGGCTATGGGGCAAAAACACGCTACCAATCCACTGAATGAGAACACATAGTCCATTTGGATTTTGTTTGTGTTGGCACCACCAAAGCACGGGCAAGCCAAAAAAATAAAAATAAAATAGTGAAGCTTTTCACGCTCACATATCACCAACTCGTTTGTGTGAATATGAACTAGAAAGCCAAATCCATCGTGGACACTCCAGATGATGGGGCTGGCCAAATGAATGTTTCTGCATGTTTTGCCTTAGAAGTTTGGAAACAACCGTCCACCTGATCTGGAGCTCCCCTTTCTCTCGAGAGATTTGGCAGGAGGTTGCGACCTGGAATGGTTGCTCTGCTATGGCTCCAGGTGATAGGCTGAATCTTCCTTCTTCGACAAGAATATGCCAAGCCATCATCAGGAGGGCGACGGTTGAGAACAAGCGGGGGGGTCAAGACCATGATCTTGCTGGTAGCATGGGAGCTTTGGAAAGAAAGAAATGACGCGGCATTCAGAGCCAAGCTTCCAGATAGCTCGAATGCAGTTGAGGCTATTAGACGCAACATGGAGCAATGGCGACTCGTCGGCGCCAAAGACATATAGACCCCGTTTAAGGAGAGGCATGCGAGATAGCGCTGTACGATTCTGTGTTTCTTTCTTATTTTTGACCTCTTTGTACATCACCATCTTGATCACTTGATCACCCTGTTTCCCGCTTGCTTTCTGCTAAATCAATGAAGCCGATGTTTGATGGGGTCGCCTACTACTGGTAGGGTCAAGTACCTGACATCTAAGGCCCACCCGGGGTCCCACACCATCGTTGGTAGGTCCCTGGACCGTAACCGCATTCGGATGCGCATAACCAGAAATCCACTAGAACATCCTGGATGTTTTCCCTCCAGTCGGCCCAGCCACCACCACTCAGATAAGGAAGGCGAAGGGGTTATGTGGGAGCTGCAACGGTCGAGTAGTCTTAAGTCGGGCTTTAAGCATAGTGATGGCTACCGTTACCTGTAACTGCCATAGTTGTGGCTATTAACACATGTAATTGTCATAGTTATAGTCCTTAAATTGCCCTTGTAACGTGGGAGTAAATAGGTTGCGGCACACTCTATATAAGCCGCCTTCCTCCTCCTTGGCAGGGGTTCGGCATCCTTGGTAATCATATACCCAAAAGAAAACAAGCCTCAGGGCATGAAATGTAGCACTGTTACCTCCTTCAAGAGGGGTCTAAACTCGTAAAAACGAGGATATGCCTGCACCGTAGCTAAGATCTGCCCCTCTTTCATACCCTAGTATTTATTGTCAGGATCGTAACCCCGACTGTGTTCACCGGATTTCAAAAAAAAAAGTGATGGCTTCCAATCCAAGCACTCGATCAACGCCAATTGCCTGGGGCTCCTATCCAAGCAGGTCCATAAGACTAGTGGCTGGTTATCCTGATCATCTTGCCATTTGTGTTTTGTCTTGCATATTTTTAGAGTTGTTGTTTTTATAGAGATCTTCTCTTGTTTGTTCTTGAATCGTCTTGTACCTTTTGCACCGGTGAGAAAAATCTAGAACAGCTGTTGTTGCATGGTCCTAATCAAACTGGTGGTGTGAACTAGGAGAAACAAAATGTGGTACTGTTCCTTGCATAGAGCCGTGGCCACCGTCGATTAGGACCCCCAAAAGGACAACGTTGAACCGTAGCGCCTGCTCAATAATATCGCCGTTTGCAGGTCCAATTAGTACATGGGAATGTACTCGATGAGTTCATTATTGGGTGCTCATTTTCCATAGCCACCACGTGATTGCATAGTACAGAGTCCTCTCGTGATGGGTTTATTGTGCAAGTTGAGGCAAAACATCGAATCATGGACAACAACGCAAGGAAAAAATACAACCAGAACGAGATGATATTTTTTCCAAACTTTGCTGGCTTCGGTCGACCGGGTCGCCCGTGTATGCATGTATGATTGCATTGATTGGAGTTTTGATTGCGGTCGGGCAAGAGGAAGAGGTTAACCTAACTCGTAAATAATCCCCGTGCCCAGACGCATAGGCAAGAGGAGCCTGGCACACACCTCCGCGATCCGGCGCGTTCTGGACCAGCCATTCCCCACCGAAAAATCTCGCAGATTGGACCCCCGACCGCGCGGCCACGACGTTGACACGGCGGGAATAGGCGCCGATCCGCGGGAGTTCCGCCTTGCGACGCGACGCCTTCCCGGTGCGAAACCAGCGACATTTTTTTTAAGCATCAGTACAGACACAAGCGCTCATATACACGCGCATACATTCATCCCTATGAATGCACACATGCACACCCTACCCCTATGAGCACCTTCGAGAGACTGAGCCGGCATATTATCTTGAGATTTACGAAGTCACCATAGGCGCCTCGTCGTCGACGGGAACGTCTCCTCCCACTGAAAGCGCATCGGCGGAAATCTTGAAATAAATCCAGAAATAATGCGAGCACCAGGATTTAAACCCTGATGGGTTGGAAATACCACTGTCCACCTAACCAAAGCAACCACAGGTTGATTCGCTCGAAACCAGCGACATGACGGGACGCCGAGCGGCACGAGCAGAACACCCGGTGCGCGCGCGCGCGGTGCGTGTGTGTGGGCGCTGGAGCTTGCGTGCGCGGGCACGGCAGGCCCGGCCGCGCTCCCACGGGAAACCGCTGCGTTTTCGGCAAGGAAACCGACGCGCTCCCGAGCGCAGCTGCCGTGCCCGGCTCGTGTCGCGCCACGGACAGGCCGTCGGTCGCTTTGGGTACTGCTGGCTCCGTGTCTGCCCAGAAGTGTGACGAAGTGGTTGGGGGCGGGTTCTCCCTGTCCTGTAGTGTCCCGCAGACCGCAGTACAACAAGCCCACAGCTGTACCTCTCAGTCTACCTGCTAGCTTGGTTTTACTCCTGATCAGCACATGGATTGTAGCTTGTTTTTACTCCTGATCAGCACACGGATTGTCGCGTACACATACGTACGATCACCCTGCTCTAAAAATCAGCAAATTTGGTGCTCGCCCAACGTGACGGATGGGTTGGTGCATGAGATAACGGGAGTACGGTTGAGCGATGACCTTTTCTTTAAAAAAATAGAAAAGGAGGGTGTACCCGGGCCTTACATCCGGAGGATGCATGTAACCATATTATTAATTATTCAAAAAATCATACAAAGTGATATATATATCAATAAGCCTGAAGCCACCATCTTAGCAACGCTATTGCTACTCCTATCCCTTTGATGAAGGTGTGCCGATTAACCGGGCCTAATACAAAAAGACATCAAACCAAAGCCTAACATCTAAAGTCGGGTGTCCCATCCAAGCCACTAACTGGATTGGGTCCCACCCCGGTCTGGCACACTTCTAGTGAGCACCGC